CGTGCTGCTCATTCAAGAGAGGATAATTTTCTGCACAGACGGCACTGATAAGTGCTTGGACAAGCCGTATGTGAAAGAACATCGTTGTACCTCTTCGTCGAGCAACATTAACTGATCGAGTATAGCTAAGCCTTGAATTTAAGCTGTATACACACAGCGGTGCCCGTAATCTTCGATGCAAGTGTTTTCAGTGGCAAGAAATTTCGAGATTACTTGATAGTGTAACAATATAATAAATAAATATATATAATAAATCAATTTTGCCCTAAATGTTTTGTAAATATGTACAGACTTTTCACGTTTATAAAACAATCTTTTTTTTAGTGATTTGGATGAACAAATTAGTCTACACAAACTAATCTAACGAATTAATCTAAACACAATTTAGCCGAATATTAAACTTAAGTAGAATACAAAATCCTAAAAACAAGATAACATTAAGTAGAAGTTATTTTAGGAAAAATCGTAATAATTTATTTATTTTATTTGAAAACTTTTTAATTAAAAACTTGTTTAAAAGTCATTATCAAAAGTTTCACTTATCACTAAATCATCGTCAAATATCAAATGATATCATCATAATTTTTCTTAAAATAACTTTTACTTGACGTTATCTTGATTTTATTATGATTTTATTCCATCTAAGAATATCATAAATGTGTCTTAAGATATTCGGATCTGTGAATAAACATTGTTATCGGAGGAAACTATGGAAAAGGCGATGATAGACGTGTTTTGTGTCGTGTCAAAAATACTGCGAACTGTCGCAATTTTAGCACGATCTTTGACCCACGTTAGCCGGAAAAGAATAATGTTTCCACATCCAGAACTTGAAATGTTCGTATCGCGCGTTAGCGTTGTAAATGTTACATTCGCATCACGCGCATGATACACAATTCAAACAAAGTTCTATTTCACGGTATACGCCGCAATTTGCGCGCTTGTAGCGTTTATGAATCATTTGCCGCGTCACAACATCACCTATGTTACATAATAAAAGGTCGCGTGTCGCGTAGCGGACGTTTGCGGAGAGTTGCACGTGGGAGACGTCCTCGAAACTGACACCAAAAAAAAATTTCTATCGCAGTTTTGCAAGCACGACACGCGACTCGCAACGTGATAGAATCGAAGTTTGATTAGCCAGAAATACTGCTGAGTACAACTTTTAAATACACGTAGCGTGCTATATCAAATTTCAATCTCCAAATAGAAAGACAGATGGATTACAATATCAATTCCAAGAACATCAGCTTTAGGATGCTCATGGATGCTTCCGAGAACCTTCGACATTTGTCCTGCAGCAATTTTAACTACGGAAAATTTTAGAAAATGAAATCCGAACAATTCTGCATGCCAGAATTAACGCGAAACTGTCGTTCTCATGGTCGTTCTAATTCGCGTTATCTTCATAACAGGATTGTCACAAATTCTTCGTCCTAAAATTCCATAACGTTTCCAGACAAAATTTCATGATTTTCCCTGTTGTTGATGTTTTCAATAATATTTTAAAATTTTCATCCGAATATTTTCCTGATTTGAAAACTAACAAATATTATATTTGTAGAAATTTAACATAGCAACGTAAATTACTACACAGAGAAAAACGGTTTGGTGGAAATGGTCAAGCCAGAAGGTTTTGATTAAATCAATCAGAATTCCGGTTATCTCGAATAAAATTTTAGTAGTAGAATTAGCCAGAAAATTTTCTGATTAAATCTACTAAAATTCTAGTTGAAATAATCAGAATTCTGATTAATTTAATCAGAATCTTCTGTCCATTTTCAACCAAACCATTTTTCTCAATATATTAATGTTATTGTATTGACACTGCTTGTAATTATTAAGTTGGTATTCCAAAACTGTGTACATATATTAAAAGTACATATATTAAAGTCAAGAATTTTCATTTCTCAGAAAATTTTGCAAAATTTCCTGATGTTTCTTTAATTTCTAATTGTGTACTACTTTGTATAATCAACGTTAGACACGTGGTTAACGAAAGAACAAAAAATTACTCAAATAGAACGAAATTCGCTGGTATTATAAAGACAGGCAGGACGTGGCAAAAAAGTCAAGGCTCTCTCTTGTCGCTGACCTTCGTCGTAGCTTCATCAAATTATCTAAAATCGTCGTAGCTAGCCGACTGTATTTCAGAATTCCTTGATTACACGTCATCTTATGATTACGTATAACAACTTATACGTTGAATAGATTATCGATCTCTTAATTCACATCGAATAAACAGGAAGTTATCGCGTTTATCTTGCGATTTTCTAATCGCGCATTTGAAAATTGTACAACAACGCATTGTCTCGAATATACGTTATGAGTTATAAACTATTTATAAATTATTTTATATCTTTATAAATAAAAATATAAAAAATTTCTATTCTCATAAACTAAAAAAATTGTCTGCACAGGGAAAAAATAATATTGTATTAATAGCATAACTGACATTAGTGTAATTGAAAATAATCTTATTAATTCAAGTGACAGTAATAAAAATACGTCCATTATACTAATAAAAGTTTTTCATTACTTTCATTTCCACTACTTTCATTACTTTCATTACTAATTTATTAACTTGAGTTTTTTAGCAAGTAAGAAATATTAGTATTTCTAATGTTAATAATACTGTTGTTGAATAAGCAAAGTTATTTTTAGATTGCTGTTAACTAATGCTGTTAATATAACATAATTTTTTGTAGTACAGTCTACATACACGTAAAGTAGACACAGATTTACAATGATTGCAAAGAAAATTATAGCGTTGAGTTGGAAAATTGCGCAACGTTTCGTTTTGAATACGTAATATTGTAAGTATCTTTGTAAAAAAAAAAAAAAAAAAATGAGAAACGGATTCCGTTCTCGTAAACTCAAAGAGTCGTCTATAGAATGATGGAGTTGATACGAAAGTGGATACGGATTTGCAGTGGTCGCGAAGAAAATTACGATGGCGTGTTCAGTGATAAAAGTATACCGCACAACGTGGGGCAGATCGATGCAATTTTTTCCACTCGTACGATTATCTCGTTTCACCGCTTACGTGATAAACGATTAACCCCAAGATGCGGCCAAAATTGAATAATAACGAGCAGAAGCTGCATGTTCATACATTTGTCTCTCATTTTTCTTCTGCGATTCGTTAGAGAAGATATTAAACAATTCACATTAAAACGGATTCGATATAATATGAATTAATATAAATAACGAGATTCCACTACTAGTCTATTTTTCAAAAAAATTTATCAATGTTGACACACTCGCGTTTTATAAAACTCAGCGTGACTTGCTCTATTTTAATGTACATTACACTCGATTACGATATTTATTTTAATTTCCATGTAATAATTTCAATCAAGATTCTCAGGGCATAAAAATTAAATATTTCATTTTTATATTATATGTTGAGAATCCTATTTGATTGAATCAGCTAATCTCTTATATTTGGATATGGACAGACAAATTCTTGGTCGGTGTAATAAAATAATTTTGTTTTAAATTAAAGCAAAAAGTTTGGTTGCTATAACATTTTACTTGTTTTTAATAATATAAATTTTGTGCTTCAACTAAATTATTTTATTGTATCAACCAAAAATTTGTTTATCCATATCTAAATACGAAATTAATTAATTCAACCAAATGAGTTTCGGAATGTAATTATTGGATAATCTAAAAGCGAAGAGTTGAATTCGAAACGTCTAATTAATTTGGTTATTTAATAAAGAATTTGAATTCGCACATCTACACCCAGAGAAAGGTTTTTTCGATTTAAAGAAATGTTTCTTTACTATACGATTAAAGAAAAAAATTCTTTGATTTAAACATTATTTTTTTAAATTAAATAAAAAAAATTTATTTAATTTAAAGAAATTATGTTCAAATCAAAGAATTTTTTTCTTTAATCGTATAGGAAAGAAACATTTCTTTGAATTGAAGAAATCTTTCTCTAAATATAGTATTGGCTCTAATTAATATTTGTACTTTTATCATTTATTATATATTCTTTAGAGTCTTTCATTATTCTTGATTCTTCGTCAATTATGTGACGTTTTCGCCAATAATGTGACAAAACATGGAAATATTCCAACGGATAAATTCGAGTTGGTCGACGTTAATAATGCAGATGAATCGGCATTACGGATTGAGCTGTATACATGTATAATATGATATTTGTTAATTAACGATTATAGCAATATGCCTTCATCAAATATTCAAATTCGGGATGTAATGTAATTATGATTACGTATACTATTTCTGCATGCATTGCCTCGCGTATAAATTGCACAACTGGTGCACCTTGTTTTAAAGCAAGCAAATACTATCATTAATAACAATTAGCATCATATATGGAGTGATTAGACGTACTATATCAGTCAATAATTATAGCTTCATAAAATAGACATGTCATTATAATATAACGTTATTTCTAAATCCTACTTTATCAAGAGAAATAATAATGCATTCTATGCATAATCTATCCTTAAAATAAGCTCGTATTTATTTAAAAAAAAAAGTTGCGCGATCACGTGACCGCGAGAGAGAGAGAGAGAGAGGACCGCGCAGATACGTTCAAATCGTAGCCTTCCAAAAATAACAATGCAATTTATTTCGATTCTGCGATCACGTGAAAGCGCGACAGACATATCGGTTGACGTTCACTCACCCTGGAGATGCGCAGGGGTTGATGCGTGTCGCAGCCGCCGTGCATGCGGAAGCCCCACGGGGACCCGCCGTAGAGGGTGACTTCTCTCGCGCTCATCCCGCGTCGGCACCCCCGCTCCTCTTCGTCGACACGCGCATCCGATTTTTCCCGCGTCGCGTTGCGTCACGTTACGTCGTGGCGCACAGAGTGATACGTGGCTAAGTTCACGACACTCGTGCCCGCATCGCGGATCGTCGCGCGAGGTAGAGTCGTAGAGATGTTTCACGACGTAACGCGCGACACCCGGTGACGGTTTTATCCGCTCCGAAGTTTGTATTGTTGTCGTCGTGAATTTTCTCACGTTGCCACGCGAAGGGTCGATTACGCAAAATCAGGGTAACAATTATAATGGTCGTTGTCGCAATGACGGCGACGACGAGCGCCGATTACGCCCACTGATGCAAAACGCGACGGCAAATCACACGCACGCACGCGCGCGCGCGAGACCCACACTCGTCTGAGGTTCGCGTTGGACTGATGGCGCGTCCTTCCTCCCTCCCCCACCATTCCGCCCCCGCGCGTAGTAATCCGCGCGCGTATGCCCTCCCTCTCCCCCTTCGTCCACCTGGCCGTTTCGTACTCCGCGAGGGTGCGTGCGCCCACCCCAGGACCGTTATTACGAGATCCTTTCCGTCGAGTCGCCCCGAGAAAAATTTTCCTTTCTCATCTCGCGACTTTTTTTTTTACGTTGGCTGTGAAATCATCTTTAAGATTCGATGCCATCAATGTAAGGGTGCTATTTCAAAAACAATATAAAGAATGGACATGCAAAGAATATACAGATCATATAAGAATAAAATTTAAAAATTAAAACGTGAAAATTATAATAAAAATATAATACTCTGTAATTAATTGATAGACAAAAAGAAATACATATTACATGTTTCGATCTCACGATTGAATCCCCTTTAGATATTCGAAAAAATTGTATATATCCAGTGATGTTAAAATGATTGCATGACAAATTTTTCAAGCCTGTTGGCTATAGAATAGAGAGAAATCCAAGGATTTCTCTGTCCCTCCTGGTTCCATCAATGTAAGAGTGCTATTTAATTTATGCTTTATTGTTGTATGACAAGTGTGTACAGAACAGAGAGATTTCTCTATTTTTCTATTATTTCTTCCCATATCTAACAATAAACTTGAAAATTTGTCGTAACGACAAAAACGCACAAATGAAATGTTACCCTTCGGTTTGAAAAATAAAATATGACAAAAATGCATAAATAAAATAGCAACCTAAAATTAACTTTAATCTCAATTTAATTATCTTCCTTTGATACTATGTTCAATGTAATTTAACTTTAAATTTGGTAACTTACTTTCTCTACTTCTTAAAACTAGAAAAAGATGAAGAGTTATGCGAACCAAAATTAAATTAGATTGGTAGAAATATATATTAGAATAATTCTAATAATTACATTGGTGATATTAGGCCTAAATAGTAATCGACATAACTTAAAAATAACATAACATTAATGTTATAAGCATTTATTCGCATTGCTTCAAATCCCTAAAAAATGTTGCACTTAAAATGGAATAAATATATGTATTCTGGCATTGAAAAAAGAAGTGAGGATTCTGAGTGCAAGCAACACGAACACTTATTATCTTTTTTTGCACTTAACAATATAAATATATTATATATAACACATGATTACAGAAAATAAAAAGTCTAAAATTGAAACATAAGACGTCTTAAAGATATTCTTTATATCTCGTTTTTGAATATGCATATTGTCTGAGGAATTACATAACAGTTACATTATTGAGTGTGAACTTATGACATTGATGTTATGTTATGTTAATGTCGATTATGGAATGTTTTTTGATTTTAATATATTTTCTCTCGAAAGGAATACAATTCGCAATATTTTGAAATTTTTTTTTTTTGTTTAAACCCAATTCTGGTTCTTTACCATCTTGTCTTCTATTTCACACGTACTTTTTATCATGCCTTCATGTTTTATTGTTGTCTTCCACACATGATGCTTATTCTTCTGGCATTTTTACGCACAATCAGTTGACTACTAGTTAGCTCGTTTCTCATAGATCCATTCTTTTTCGTTCTTCCTGAACAAAAAGGAAATTTTTTATGTACTTTATTTATACGCTTCGACAGTCCAGAACAACTCGTTTCTCTTTACTACAAAGGTTATCCTTTCTTGATATCCTACAAAATAAAATGTATCGATTAAATATATTGCATCTGAGATAAAATGTATTTTTTCTTATACAATACAAAAACTTTTAAGAACATTATTGTATGTTCACAATGTTATCGCAAAATTGTTGGGCTATTGTAATATTGCTGTAATATTGCGATAATCTATGCTGTATGACTTTCTATGAATTTCTTTTTACATAAATTTCTCTAGTAGCACAATTATTTACACAATATTGATCAAATGTATCAACCCATTATTGGCCAATATATTACAAACATTTAACTATGTTAATTGTCAATAAATCGCAAGTTTTAGTCGTAATTAATGTTGATGAATTCATTTCTAGATAATGATTCTCTCTCGACTATACTTTTTCAAAATTAATATTCTTTTGTATTTAGGAACACGAAAGTAGCAGCAGAATTGAAAAATGGACAAAGATGTCCGCGAGGACAGGACCGAAAATGTAAAAGCATGGCTGAAGTTATATTGTCGAGATAAATTTGTAAAACTTAAAAACAAATGGCTATATGCAATGTATTAAAGTAAAGTCTATAATTTGATCTTAAATTCTTACCCATTTTGCTTCATGTATATCGATTTAATTACAATATACGTGGTTAATTCGACGGGAACCGGACTCCATTTTGTCAAGAAAAATTTTCGCGCTGTCACTGAAGTTGACCGCGCGATCGAAATCGACATATCGCGAGTTCGATTTTAATGTTACCGCTCGAGAAACTCTGGCGAGATGGCGGTACAGTTCTCTGTCAGAAAGGAACATGGTAACGTGACACGTGGTTATGTTTGTATGTTGTATGGTTACATTTGTGTATTGACACATATCGACATTCCATTAGCTTTGGCTACATTGTTCTCCTTCCGATTTTTCTCGGAGATAGATGTCGTTTATTTAAAGAGGAAGAAGAATTTCCGGCATTCGGCGAACATAATAACTGACCATTTAACCTTTTGGATTTGATATCACTTGATATTGTAAAAAGATCGTGAATAATTTTCTCACGACTGTGTTCGCCAAATCGCGATGTCCACCAATACAGACGGACGTTCTGCTGAAAATAGCAAGAATCGCTATTTCCGTGGATCAAGGCGGAGAGGTAATTTGTTATTTATAATACTATGTTATTGTTTATAATAATTATTGATAACAAATATTTCCTACTACAATCGTTAAGGGCGAGTTTGATCAAACTCTGATTAACTTAATTGGCAGTTTATTCGAGTTGATCGACCAGTAGAATCGCTTAAGACAAATTTTTCAATACACTTTTTAATCTTTTTTAATTTATTTACATTATTGAATTTAATAATTTTATTTATATTACTTAATAAAATAGTGCTAATTAAGTTAATCAGAGTTTGATCAAAGTCATTCTGAAAAGCGATTGTTTTTCTGAAGGTGGTTATCAGAACAAGCCTGGCAGACGGAGCTTCAAACGCACTTTAGACCGATCACCACGAGAAAATGTAAAGAGGAGCAAATTGGATATTGGCAGTAGACTGAAAGAATCTGACATAGGAATTACGGAATATATCGGCAAGCATCTTGGCTTTTCTGCGATAATTAAAGAGAGGTACAATGATTTTCATGTCAACGAGATAGATCTTGATGGACAAGTGGCCAAGCTGATCCATCAAGACATCCCGCGCAATCCCTGTGATGACGAAAGTATCGAAGATCTGAAAATATTGGTGTCACCGACAATATGGGATCAGCTGCAAGCTTTAGGAAAGGAAAATCCTTCGAGTGTGGAAATTGATGTGACTAACATCGATAAAGTTGAACGTAGGACTATTCATACAATTGCTAAGAAATTAGCGAATGTCGTCAGCCAGACAGTAGATAAGGGCGATAAAAAGTTCCTCACGATTGTGTCGAATACTAAAAATGACACGAATGGTAAGTTGTAAATTTCCTCATACAAAAAAGAGACTTTATAATTTTTGATTGTTAGGTCCCAAGATTCGCAAAGATAAGAGAATAGATTGGAGCAGATGTGGAGGAGATTATTGTCACTTTCTGTTACACAAAGTAAATATGGATACGATAAGCGTTGTGAACCAGTTGGCTGTAAGCTTACGATTACAACCGAATAACTTTTGTTATGCTGGCACGAAAGATCGCCGAGCCTGGACGACTCAATGGATTAGTTTGAGAAAGGTAGAACCGCATAATATATTGCGAGCTGGTAAAAGTATACGCGGTGCTTATGTAGGGAACTTTAAATACGCTAAAGACAGTCTGAAATTAGGAATGCTAAGTGGTAATCAGTTTAGGATAGCGCTGAGAAATGCCTGTGAGACAGATGAAAAGATCGAGCAAGCGATGAAATCGTTGCAGAACAATGGCTTCATTAATTATTACGGTTTACAAAGATTTGGATCAGTACCTACTATACCCACACACGAAATTGGAAAATGTCTACTTCAGGGTGATTACTGTTTTCTTTATATCAGATAGCATTTTAATTTAACTGTTTAAGTTAGATCTTTAGAAAATAATATTTTTTCGGTGTGAATTTATATAAAGGACGGCATATGTATATAAATTCACATCGAACATATTATTTAAGCACTAAACATTTATCTTAGATAGTTAAGGCTTTAATTATCCAGTTATGTATTTTTATGTAATTTATATATATTGCATTATCTTTTGTTAGGTAAATGGCATGAAGCAATTGAACTAATTCTGAAACCACGACCGGAAAAGGATAACGAATTGGCAGAAGTTAGACGAATCTATGCAGAAAGTAAGGATGCCCGTGCTGCCTATGACAAGCTCAAAAGAATCGATACAATTGAAGCCAGACTTTTGAAAGGCCTACAAATATTGGGTGACAAAAATCCTCTAGGCGTACTCGACTCAATCCCTCGAAACATTCGATTAATGTATATTCATGCTTATCAAAGTTTCGTATGGAATCATATTGTATCGAAAAGAATAAAACAGTTCGGAACAGAAGTGGTCGTAGGTGATTTAATTTATGACAAACAGAATTGCAAAGAGACTATAAATAGCGAAAGTACGGATTATCCTTTGAATGATAATGAAGACATTAAAGATAAAACTGATATTATCTGTGTCGAAGAAAAAGATATCGAGTCAACATCGAATGAAATGAATAAAGAAAATTCGGAGCAGGATTTTCCAACAGTAAAAATTCTTACAGAAGAAGATTTGTCGAATTACACTTTGGCTGATGTAGTTATGCCTCAGCCTGGATGGAAAGTTACATATCCGCCGTATGCAAAAGCCTGGTACGATGAATTTTTAGCTAAGGATGGGTTAACTACTGATCTTAGACAAAACAACAAGTGAGTGAATTTACTTACAAACATATTACAATAAATTGTTACTATCTCTTGTATATTTACTTTCTCTTTTTAGAAAGTATAGTTTAAGTGGTGCTTATAGAAATATATTAGAAATTCCAACAAATCTATCTTGGAAGATTATGCACTATGAAAATAAACATGACGATCTAATCTTATCAGATATCGACGAAATGAGGAAGCATACGTCTCCACAGGATAAACCAAGTAAATCAATTACTTTTATATTTATTCGAAACGTTTGTTTTAAAAATAATTCAAACTGTATGAACTACTTTCAGATGGAAAGAACAAAGCGTTGATCATAGAAATGTGTTTGAAGTCTAGTAGTTATGCCACAATGGCTTTGCGTGAAATCTTGAAGAATGATACTTCAGCAGAAACACAGGCCGCTTTATCGGCCGCTCATGATGTAGACAATATAAAGTCCAACGTAACCACCATAGATGAATGTAGCAGCAAAGACTTGGAAATTGAGAAAGATACAGAAAAAAATTTTGACAAATGCCAGGAAGAAGACGTTGATGTAAAGACGAATGAGATAATGAAGATAAATGATATAGAGAATATATCAGAGACATGTCAAATTATAAAATAAAATATCTTTCATAAATAGAAGATTGTTATTACGACATATACATCTTTTTATAAAATAAATTTTAAAAAATATACACAGAAGATGACTTTTCATAATCAATTAATTTGTTAACAATATTTTTTAATAAATCAATTGATTATGAGTGATAATGTTGTAATAAATTTTATTAAAAAGTAATCACTAATATTTTTACAGACAAGCAGCCATCAAACCTGCCACATTTTCAAAATCAATCTTTTCAGTGATATTTTTGGTTTTGATATTTTCGTCTTGATTTGCAACGAAGATGATTGTTTTAGTTTCTTCTTTCCAACCATACTTTTTCACCCAATGTTTCAATGTTGCATCTGTAAAGAAAGAAGCTTAATAAACTTTACTCAATATTACTGCAATATTACAAATAAAAACTTTATATATCATACCATCCACGCCACCAAGCAATTGTGCCAGGAGTGCCCTATCTATCGTTTGAAATGTGATTCCTACTACGTGACACACGAACTTTCTTATCGAATCCTGAAAACCTACAATTCTATCACAAAGCTCCGACATGGACAACACTCTGTCCCAAAAGTGCTGGAAGTCACATCGTTCCAAGATATCTCCCAGATACATGATTTGATTAATGGGGCTTTCCGACATCTAGAAATCAATGCAACTGTATATTAATAACTTTCACAAAAAAGAAAATTATCCTGCATACTTCAATTGAGACAATTACAAGTTTCTCGCTGAGCAAGCACTTGCACAGCACGAAATCAGTGTGTGGTAGATTGGTCAATGCCTTCAACAAAATCTGACATGTAATGTCCATATTAAATCTGTGCGGGTTTAACTGATAGAGTTTTAGAACAGCCAAATTTGCTTCCAGATCATAAGCATTTTCTCTGGATTGTATTTCAACATATTTCTCTAAAGTGGTGAGATTATCTGGATTGTATCTGAAAGCACATTCATTGTAGTTAATACAAGTAAAAAAAATTAATTCTAAATAATTATTATATTATATAAAGTATGAATATATTATTAGATTAATAATTGCTTTCCAGTTACACTAAAATTCAGATTCTCATTTATGACATCATTTATAACTCAGTTGAATGCACATTTCTTTTTTTTTCTTTTTATTATGATAAATGAGATTTAATTGAAATTTTAATACAATCTGTACAAGTTTGAAACTGTACAGTATATTTTATTGATCTAAAATCAATTTAATTTTTCTTAAAATTTAATTGTTAAATATAAAAATCTAAGAGACATGTATTTAATTCATAATATCATATTGGCTGAATTTGAAATTTAAAATAATAAATTCTCAAAGCTAATGATATTTAATTCCAATCAATATTTTAGACAAAACAAAAATTTTTACATACATACTTTATAACTAGCTACATATCTAGATTTTGCAAAAATAATATTTTGAAAAACTCTTATCCTTATTAAATTTTAAGATCCTTTTTCACTCCTTAAGTCTTAAATTAGACCAATATAAAAAAATACGTGTCTTAGATTTTTGTGTTTAACAAAATGTTTGAAGAAAGATCAAATTGGTTCGACACTTGTGACAAGATCCTTCTCAGTATCTTGTTAACTCATGTTATACAATAACTTTTTTTTTAAGCAAGTAATAACATCACTATCTAAGTACAAAATACATAACTTTAGACTCAATAATCAACACTTGCATGTAACTGGAAAGCAAGCATCAATTATTTTCTTTTTGAGGCATAGTCGACATAAACGTCATTCTATTCTTGACATTTAATAAATAACAAATATAAAATACGAAATATTGAAACTTTTGTCGACTATGTCTCTTGAAAAAAATGCAGTCTAAGACATACAATAAGGATCGCATTGACAAATTTTAATTCCTCATTCGTATGCGATAAAACACTTGCGAGTAGCACGTGTCATAGAAAAACTATTTGTGCGGATCAAAAATGCAACAAGAATGAAAAACGACGAACCTTTCGATGCCTTTGAGCATTCCAGCTACAGTTTGACGCATCGCTTCAGCCATTTTTGCTAATAAAAGAATCTTATACTGCAAATATTGTCAATGTAATCAAAATTGATCGAAACCACTATTACGAACAACACAACCTCAAACAGACAAGCATAGACAAAACATCCATAGATTAGCTGTGTTCAACAGACTCAACTAAAGGCTATGGCACAGTATATACAGTAGCACAACTCTCCTGATTTTATGTTGTCCAAAATGAAGTGCATGCAAATAAGTAAGTTGCCCAGTAATGCCATCTAAACTTTTATCTCATAAACTTCTTTCTTTTTTCGTTCTCTCTTTCAGGACCATTTAAATGTCGAATAGCTGAAATACGAATCAGAGAAAGAGATAGAAGAAGAGAAAATCATATAATAATTAGTTTAATTAATTTAATTTAGTTTATTGCGAACCTTTATGAGAAAGACTATATGTTAACAGAGTAATATAAAATAAAATACAATACAATAGTCATTAGTAGCATGCAAATGGTTAGGCATCAGCAAAATTGCTGATGTCCACCAGCAATAAAACCGGAAATATAAGACAACATGCAATGAGAGGTGAACCATTAACTGAAATCATACATACACATATACACACACACACGCCGCACACACACGTCGCACACACACGTCGCGCACACACACGTCGCACACACACCACACGTCGCACACACACACACATCTGCAATTTTGTCAGTCTCGCTTAAATACTGAGTGATATGTATAATTGCTGGATTGCTTTCGTTTTAGCTAGAAATCTGCGTTCTATATGGTGCAATTCTAATAATTTACTAAAACGCAATCTAGCAAGAAAACAAGCATTATATGTTGCAGTCGTTAAATAAAAATATTTTTACAGTATAACATTTGTATCATACCACATTTATATAATTTTATATTTTCTTATTTTTGCATTTTTTTCATTTTGCATTACAATTATAAATCTATTTCTTTTATTACATATATATATATATATATTTAGATTTTATATATATATATACTTTGTGTACAAACGATCTAGAGAGAAAAATAAAGAGCAATTGAGACAGAAATTCAGATGGCACTACTACTATTAATTTACAGAATGTGTATACAATCCTACTCAACAGCTGAGTGAGAACTCACTGCTATTCGTATTCTTTTAGATCTAAAATTCTGATTGGATGATCTAAAAGAATACACCAATAACACCGAGCGCTCGTTCAACTATTAAATCCGCTGAATCAGAAAAGAACAAACTTATTGCACTGTTCAATGTGCACCAGTTCAGTTCAGAAAGTACAAGAATAAAGGAGATATCTCTTGATGACAACAAATTGTAACAAATTGATAGAAAAAGCTGAAATCATTAAATGAGCATTTAGACGTCAATATTGTTTTCTCATTCGTTTCAAGAGTGAATAACAGCATTTAATAAACATGGCCAAACATCATCCGGATTTAATCTTCTGTCGCAAGCAACCGGGAGTCGGTGAGTTGAGATTGAGTCCAATCCCTATAAGTCAAAACAAAATATTTTAACAATTATCCTTTTTTTATTAAGCCATCGGTCGACTGTGCGAAAAATGCGACGGCAAATGCGTCATTTGTGATTCTTACGTGAGGCCGTGCACCTTGGTTAGAATATGCGACGAATGCAATTATGGTTCTTATCAAGGACGTTGTGTGATATGCGGTGGTCCCGGCGTGTCGGACGCGTATTATTGTAAAGAATGCACGATACAGGAGAAAGACGTAAGTATAGGTTCTTTTAATTCATCAATTGCACAAATGCAACTTTGCTCCATATAATGCATTAATTATAAATAATAATAAATTTTAAAAATGTCTTTTATTTCTAATTATCTTAGATTAGTCTATTCTTTTCAGCTGAACTTCTTATAGAAACTTAATATTAGTAAAATTATTACCGAAAATTAAATGTAAAGTATGTATTTCTTTTCTTTTTAATAGTGATAGGATGTAGTTTACTTAATTTAAATTGTATACAAAGTGTCTTGTTTTTGCCAATCACTTTTTCAGAATTTTTTATCAACTTTTTAGTACTGCATTTTCTTATTTTTACCATGAGAAAATACGATATTAAAAAATTCTGAAAAAATTCTTAGAATTTTATAAGACGAAAATAAATAATTTTTATCTCTTGCTGTTTTTCTGTAAACTTAATAGTATTTGAATAAGAAATTATTGAAAATTAATATTTAGCGATTTTTGATAATTAATATCTCATTAACCATTGCAAAAATTGCAAAATAATAAAGAACTCAACTCAATTTAGTTCGCTCTATCTACATGAAAGTGATTGATCAAAACTTATGGGACCTGTATATTATATTCTTTAGAATCTAATTTTTAAATTTCGAGAGAGAAGCATATAAAAAATCTAATTAAAATAATGTAAAATTTTGTTGAAGGGCCTATATATATGTGTCCTACTATTTAACGCGGGATCTGAACGACGCTAGTGATAAAAGATTTTTTAATCACCAGATGGATTTTCAACTCCTTAACATGAAAAATCGCGTATGTGAACACAGATGGGATTGAACCCCCAGTTCTACAAATCATGAGTCAATCGCACTGAGCGGCAAGCCACTCAATGCCTCGAAAGATAGTAATCAATTACTTATTGAAATACTAAACAACAATGTTGTTAATAATTAAAATAAATAATTATTGTCTTTTAATATAGACCAATATTAGATTTTGTAAACGATTTTTTGCGATCTTTTCTTTTATTAATTTTAAGAATTAGAAAAAGATAAAAGTTTAAACAGAGATTAAAGTTGATCTACAGGAACAGACGTTTTCTTTCCAATATGGAATACCGCAAGAAGTTCAGTGGAAAAGAACAGACTTTGTATATTTACAAGTTTTGTATTCAGTTTGTATATTCGCAAATTGAATATCTTACATCGTGTTTTCAGAGAGACGGATGTCCCAAGATAGTCAACTTAGGAAGTTCAAAGACAGATCTCTTCTATGAAAGGAAGAAATATGGATTCAAAAGAAGATAATTACACTTTTTCTGTATAGAATTTTTCCTAAAATAATATTACAAGAGCATCAGGTAATTTATTATTTTTATAAAAGTATCGTTACGATAGCAACATAATTTTTTGTTTCGCAATATAATACTAGATAATTATGGATATCTTAATTTTATATATTAAACTACGCTCTGTAAGCATGAATATAGCAAAGATAAAAAATAAATATTCAATTTGTTTTATATATATATATA